GTTAGAAGGCCACCGATGCGCGGATTGTTTAAACGTATGGTGTGTCCAAAAACAAAATCGATGGCTTTACTTTGATCGCATAAAAATCAGAGGTGAACTAATAGTCATTTCAAGTATGAAACAGAGTAACTTTATTTTTTGAGTGATCCTGGGAAACTGGGACCACAGGAAGCCTTCTCAATGAGTGATTGCTATTAGAATGATAAGTAACGGCCATTCGAAGGTCAATTCAGAAGTAGACGGATCAAGCCATTCGAAGGTCAATTCAGAAGTGGACGGTTCAAGTGGGCTGGCCGAAGTGCGTTAAAATGATAAAAAATTTTTTGGGGCTGCTGGTAGGCCGAACCTTAATTTCTGAAGTAACGGCCAGTCTGAACAGTGGAAAATACGGAACAGCCGAAATGCTTAAATTTTAATATGGAGTGGAAGTAGTGAATGGATATTTCTGACTGCGTGCTTGCTATCATTTATTTTCGATGGCGTGCTTTCTTTTCTTAGAGAGAACGGAGATGATTTTGATGCGCCAAGTCCTGAAGTACGATCGCTAACAGGCAGCAGTCTAAAGAAACCCCCTAAATTATCAGCTTCAACATTTTTATCTGAAAAAAAAGCAAACCTTGAGCAGTATCTGGTGGAAGCTGATATTGTGGCCTGGATCTGTTGACAAATTGTCGAGAGAAAAAATGACGAACATGCTGGTTTCTCGGCCGACAGTGACCCAGGGAGAAGTAATTACGTTCCGGCCCTATAAATCTTTGATCTTTCCTTTCCGCAAAATCCCCGCTTCGCTCGTCACCTTCCTTCTTTTCGCTTATGTCCGAATCGATACTCTGTCCGTCCATAATTAGTGCTGATGGTAGTGGTACTGCTGGCGCATCTTCTAATTTTTCTTCCGTAATCAGCACACTTGTGCATGGATCTTCAGGGACCTAGAAAAGAGATATTTTCAGACTACTCTCGAAATCATTCGTTTTCTCTCAAATACGTTAAAACACTTTTTTCATTCGCCAATCACATTTCATCGATTGGACTGGATTTGTAGAATTAGCACAAAATCGACGCCAAAAAAAAGCCAGGAGCAAAGAGTTCCTGAGATTCTTGTAAAAGTCAACGGAAGAAAAAAGAAAAACTCATAGCATAACAAGAAAAAAAAACCCATTTCTTTAAAAAAAAAGTCGAAATTTCTTCAGGCTAATTATCTGGACTACCCGAGCGATCGGTGTAAAACTTCAGCTAAAATGCATCTCCTTATCGGCGGGCAGTCGGGTCAAATCTCTCCTTCCTTGACTAGATTCCTCCAGTTTGCACTAGACAATTCGCCCACTCTTCAAAGAATATAAATACCATTTACTGGTCCACCATCTGTTTCTAACGTACAGAACATGTTTTTTTCAACTTACTGGCTTATGTCTCCTGGACAACAGTCAGAACCTCATCGGTATTCGCTGTCTGTGAGAGACAGAGACATGGGTAGTCCATGTGGTAGCAAATGCCGACAGCAACCACCCACTGGCAAGGCTGTCCTAAAAGAATCACCTACAACAAAGCTAATGGCAGGTTTGATTCCCCGGTAAAATGCTGGCACCATTTTTTTAAATCTCACTATATTGAAACTTTTTTCTTAAATCCTTCTATATTAAAACTTTCTTTTTTAAATCGTGTTTTCTCTTTTATTCATTCCTTGTTCATTCCATTCTCACTTCCGCTAATCCCAAAATCATAGCTGTCCCCTTCCTTTCCTTGCATCTTGTGCCTTTCTCTTTTCTCTTTCTTTTCCATTAAATACTGCGATCGTCATACTGACAAGGTCCTCTCGCAGTGTTAAGACGTATATGACTTACTGGACCGAAATGTCTTATCTAACTCTTGCCCTCTTTTCTCATACTGTTCTTGCTTTCTGTATTCAATCGTTCTTTCGACACTTCGGTTTCCAGGATCAACCTAGATGCTACAATCGGCTTATCAATGAAACGGATGCATGAATCGCAGTAAAACCGACTGTCTTACTGACGGAATCGTAACTTCCAAGGATCTACTGCACTGACAACAAATACCCTAGTTCTCATTGAGACATTCTGCACCTAGCGCTATTTCTGTATTTTTCAAAAAAAAAAGTAGATTACCAGTTCATCTTCACCAGAAGGAAGTGAAATAACATCGAAGCTGGAATCCTGTTCGTCCGAATTCCGACTCGTCTCGACCGCACCATCTTCTGAACTGGTCGATGAAGAATCATCTTCGTCAAGAAAATCATCTGAAAAAGCTGAAGCCTGAGTTTTACATTAAGACAGTACGCTCTACAGTATCTCGACGCAGGAGCTGCAAAACTGTAGAAGATATGTCCAGGGGTACTGTTCATGCGATGGACTTCCTCGATATTATTTATAGCCTCGCGCTGTACTGTCCTTTAGAAAATTTTATTATCTAGTTTTCGTTTTTTCAATTTTTTTAGAATTTTTTTCAAATTCCGTACTGGTTCTCACCGAAAACTTGTACAGATTTCATCAGAAAAAAAGTCCAGAAATTTCAGAAAACTTTTTCAATCAGAAGTGTGGGATGGTACAAAGTCTGTAGTGGAGAAGAAACGCTACCACTTCGTACTGGACAACTCAAGAAATACCGCGTTAGCTCAAAATAAGAAGGCAAAAACTTTGTCCCGTTACTCAGGAGGTGTCGATATTCGATACACGCCAAGGATATTTCGAAACCGATAAAGTTCCACCAAGAGTTTTTACTAGAATCACAGGACTGGTGGCTTTCAGAAGACGAAACAAACGTTAAGATCACCAGCAGGCTCAAAACTACCAAACGATGCAGTACTGGTCTGAGCATTTAAAGAAGTTGACAGTTGCACACATGGCTAGTGAATCAGTCTACGGGCTGCGTTTTTACTCCTGTCCAAGCAAATATGATTTTGCACACTCGTTTTAATAATGATACAATACATTACTGTACAAACATCGATCTCGAGTCTGCGATGTTAGCAAAGATGACTGTTTGATACTAGACTACCTAATGCTCATTAATAAGCAGATTCTGATCCAGTACATTTTGACGCTAGCAAAAACTTTTTAAAAATAGTTTCGCAATTCAGTAGTGAATGGATACTTAAGGTAGTGTCAGCTGCTCAGACCACCGGATTACAGTCCCAGCGCCGGTTGAAAATAAGCCGGTACACAGTTAATTCTACCGTTACCGAGGACCAAACCCGAGTAAGTTACTCCCTTGGGATCAAACTTGTTTCAGATCTGCGGACTCAGTATGCACAAGAAGTGATATTTGTACCGGCGGTCGTTGGCCCTATGCTAAACTCTTCTGTCTCAATCTGTCCTGTATTTCTACAACTACACTTGTCGGAGAATTAAGATTTTCACAGATTAATGAACCGAAACGTCCGTGACTCTATACTTTAGCCCTTCCCCTCTTTCACTTCTGCCTTCTTCATTCACCCCGCTCGTTCCCCTATCATTTGT